TGTCATGTGGCCTTCCGAACTGCGTCTTTAGGATATCCATGGCTCTTTGATAGCCTGTCTTTCCAGGAAGGAACACGCAGTGTTCAATGGCCTCCATGGCTTCCCCACAGCAATAATGGAGAAGGTACATCAATTTATTGCTGTCGTCAAGCAGCCGATCAGCTACGCTCATTTGGAACGCCTTCATAAACTTCCAGAATGCTATCGGATTCCCGCTGAGCTTAACTAATTCTATTTTTGGCAGGTTGAATCCTGGCTTTGCGGTATAGTAGTCAATGCGTTTGGCGTCCATTCCATGCGCCGCGGTTCGAGTCCCGGCCGCGTCAACTCTTCTCGGCCGATTAGTAGATAAATCCGTGCGTTCCATTTCCTCTGAATTAAACTTCGCTACGAATTTCTCGGCCTTCGTCGGAGAAGATATGCAGCTCTGTGTGGCGTACATGAAATCCAGTAGGCAGGAGGCATCAAGGGATTTCCAAAGCCTCGACTCTTTGTATGTCTCGCTGCCCGCTGTCCCACGAATTTTCCATGGCCGTATCAATGCGTTCATCCTTGGCTACTTTCTTCTCGCACAGTCGCTGCAAAATTCGTTTGGGTTTTGCAGGAGGAGCTGGTCCAAAACTTGCCCATCCCAAGGCCGTGAGATATGCGTAAGGATGTTTCGGAGAACTCCAACGTTGCTCGGTAACCCACTGGGCCTCTGGGACATTGGTTCCAATCAAAATCGAGACGTTGTCTCCAGGAATTCGTGTGGGTCGAACGTCCGCTAGGTGCGTCCATTCGCTCAGCAGCGAATCATCCGGAACGGAAGCCTTGGTGATGGGAAGCGACCTGATAGTGTAGGCGCAGTCGACGTTCACAACATACCCGTCGTGCAAAGACTGCATGGCAAAGCTGACGGTCATAGTATCCTTGATATCGGAGCCATTTACCGAGGATACTTCTACACGCGTTGCTTCTCCCTCTATCCCAAGTTGTTTCGCCACGTCTGTTGTTATTAGGGTAGTATCAGATCCATTGTCCAACAGGGCATGAGTTAGCAAAGTCCCTTTTGGGCCAATCAGCCGAACTGCTACGAAACCAAGGTAGTTCCGGGGCCCTCCAACTACGGTTGAGTTGACGTTGGCAGCCTTTGTTGCCTTAATAACTATCCGCTGTGTGTCGTGAAGCAGGCGGTGATGTCGCTGGTTGCAATTCGATACGTCGCAACGTGTAGGGACGCGACACTCAAATGCTCTATGGTTAGGCTCCAGGCAATTGAAGCATAACTTGAAGCCTCTCAGTATACTCAGTTTCTTGGCCTGGGGTAGGATGCCAAACACTTCACAGTCTGAAAGGCTATGAGTCTGGGAACAGTGAGGACAAGTCACACTCGCTTTCACAGCTACGACGTTGATGCGGGCCTTTCTAGGTGGGCGTTCTAAGCCTACTTTGTCTATCTGATTACCATATCTTCTTGTGCTGGCGATAACACCATAGCAGTTTGAAGCAATGGATACACTTCTGTTAAGAAAGGATATTAAATGATCAAACTCCGGCTCTGATCCCGAACGCAGTATGTCGTCTGCCGCCTCAGCCCACTTTTCTTGCAAACGCCAAGGTAGGCGCTCCACTATACGCTTGAGATTGGTTGAGCAGTTCAAATCCGCCATGTAATGCATCTGTCTCAATGCGAGATCACAGTTCACCATTTTCCTTATCAGCCTTCGTAAGGCATCGACGTCTCCGGGAGCAATGGGCCCTCCAGTCAGAAGCTCGTTCATGAACGACTGTGCAATGTCGTGTGGCCTTCCGAACTGCGTCTTTAGGATATCCATGGCTCTTTGATAGCCTGTCTTTCCAGGGAGGAACACGCAGTGTTCAATGGCCTCCTTGGCTTCCCCACAGCAATAATGGAGAAGGTACATCAATTTATTGCTGTCGTCAAACAGCCGATCAGCTACGCTCATTTCAAACGCTTTCATAAACTTCCAGAATTCTATCGGATTCCCGCTGAACTTATCTATTTCTATTTTCGGCAGGTTGAATCCTGGCGTTGTGGTGTAGTGGTCAGCACGTCTGGCGTCCATCTCGTGCGCCGCGGTTCGAGTCCCGGCCGCGTCATCCTTTCTAGGCCGATCAGTAGATAAATTCGTGCGTTCCGTTTCCTCTGGATAGAACTTCGCTACGAATTTCCCGGCCTTCGGTTCACTGGATGGAAACCCAAGTTCACAGTCACCACATATCGAGTTTCCATCATCAGAGGAGTCACACGACAACAGCATCTGCTTACGGGAGGCTAACTTACGCCTTCTAATCTCAAGCTCCTTCATTTCTATTGCAAGCTCTTCTTCCAGTATCTCATTCTCTAACCTACTTCTCTGTCTACCCACGTGCCTGCTGGACCTTATACTACCAGCTACGCTAGGCTTAGGGGGAGAATGTTGACAAAATAAAGGAGGTTGAGAAATGCAAATGTCACGATCAACAACGTTATCAGAAATATCGTTCATAACGTTAGCAAGTTCTGGGTTCGACATATTTTCGAATGACTTGCCGCTTCTTGTTCTGGGCATATTGTTTACAAAGTTCCAGATTCCAATTCGGCTGAACGTCTGAGATCCACCGGGTACTTGAGATTTGATTTCCGGATTTGAGTACTATAGATTGATTCCAGCAATCTGTTGAACCACGTCGAGTTACGCGCAAAACCCCAAAAGCCAATTCTTTCAAATGGAGGTTTATCTACAAATGCGGTACTATAAGTACAATAATAAAATGATAAAGCTTTACAAACCTCAAATCGTGGGACTATGCCGGCTTCTATACACCGGTTTAGGAACTGCTAATTCCTAACGGGTCTCAAAGTCCACGCCGACTCGGAGCCACGTGTTTACAAGCTAGCGAAACCACGTGTGAACTTAAACGACACGTCCGATGACAAGGTCAAAGAACGGTTTATGTTCAGGTCAAAAACAACACGAGTGGTATAGTCACAGACCAAAATAACAAAAAAGAGGGAACCGATTTGTGCAGTATAAAAAATAGAGGAAAGGAATCAACACATGTATGATTACATGTGCATACGTACATATATATACATGCATATATATACATGCAAATATGTGAATACAAACCTTTCTTGTCAAAAGTTACAATAATTGCCATGAACATAACAGGACTCCAAGGTGGGCGGATTGGTGACCGTTCTGTTTTGATACCAACCCGACTATAATCCTGCTTTTCGACCCATTCCAAGATGATGAAAAAGCTTTTTCGATGTATCGAGAGAGGTTACTCTGCATTTTTAGGATTAACCACTGGATGTAGCGGAAGAACAACTGAATAAGCCCATGTCTTCATCCCATATGGTTATTTCTTATTTTTCACAGTTTCTCATCATCTTTCAAGCGTCAATGTGACTTCAGATCCCGACTCAGTAGATGTTACAATTTCGTGGATTTACGAAAGTGAATGCGCGCCAGATCAATTTGACGTGACAATTTACGACTTGGATGGTTCTGTTTTAAGCACGAAAACGGTGGATGCGGGTAGTGTAAAACTGGACGTGGATGTGGCGTGTGAAAAACGACTAGTTGGAGTAGTCGCGCGTAAAGAAAACACCAATGGTCTCGAATCGGACCGAGTGGAGTTTATTCGAATGGAAGGTATGCTAAGGACTATTGAATTTTCCTCCGACTTAGAGAAACTAGTGAGCAGTTTTCGGCAACATAAGTTGAATTCAGTGTACGCAGAAATCTGCCTTTTATTCTTTCATAAAATAGTGCCCAATTGCTTACGTACTCCGGTGAACTAATCATTGTTATTCGGGGCGTGTTGAAACGTCGTCTGTTGTTAAAAGATGTAAAGAGCAAAAGTGTAATCCGGATCAAGCAATGTAAACATTAGCAGCACATTTCAACAACCTAGGCTAATTCCGCAAAAGAAAGTGTGACCAGTTTTATCGCGGATTCGCAACAACCTTTCGGTGCTAAGACAGCTAACTCAACAATTCCTCAGGACGTCGACATCATTGGAACCTTACATATGTTTCACAAACCCAACAATCATTCGGCATGAGTTATACTGTTTCGCCTATGTGCAGGTTCTGATCGGACAGTTAGATTTTCGCATCACGACGTCCTACCGGATTGTAAAATATTACTCTTATCGGAATATGGGGCCACAAACAACAAATGGGTTTTGCATTTCCCCATCAATACAATACAATA